TCCCATGTGCTAGCTCAACTCCTTGCTGCTCAGCTTCTTTCTCTGTCCTTCCCTCTCTTTGTAACTCCTGACTTTCAAATGAATAGATGATTCAGAAAATCCATTCAGCCGTTCTCCGTCTTTTAATTGGCAAATGTAGGCCATTGACATTTAAGGTAATTGTTCTTGGGTAAGGTCTTACTGCTGTCATGTTGATACTTCATTGTATTTTTATTGTAGTTCCTCTCTCTGTGCTTCTCTAACCACAGCTTCACTTGTGGTTCAGTGGTTTTCTCTAGCGGTATACTTTGATTCATTTCTTTTATAACTGTTATAGGTTCTTGCTTTGTGGTTTCCATCCATGAGATTTATAGCAAAAGTCTTTTAGCAAAGAGATAAGAAATAATAATAAGGAAATTTATGCTTTTCTGTTCCTCCCCACATTTTGAATTTTTGACAGTTCACTTATTTTAATATTGCCTTAAGATTTTAATATAGTGATTATAAAATTTTTGATCTTCACAGTAAAAATAAACACCACTTTTACAATGTTAGAGCAAAGCTTCTCTGACCCGTGAGTTTTCTACCTGCTGATATTTTCTACTTATTAAAATCTTCTTCCAGTTTGAAGAATTCCTTTTAGCATTTTTTGTAGCATTTATCTGGTGGTGATAAATTCTTTGAACATTTATCTGGGAATATCTTTGTGTCTTCCACACATATGAAGGATAGTATTGCTGGAGACAGTATGTTTTTAAAGATTTTTTTTTTAATTTGAAAGAGTTACAGAGGCAGAAACTCAAACACACACACACACACACACACACACACACACACACACACACACACACACACACACACACACAATCTTTGGTTTCCTGCTTTATTCTCTAAGTGGCCCCAACGGCCTGGGCTGAGCCAGGCTGACTGGTGCTTCATCTAGACCTCCCATAGGGGTCACCGAGAGCTGGATTGCCAGTGGAGCAGCCCACATGGGATGCCAGTGTCACAGAGTGTGGATTCACCCATTATGCCACAGTGCCAGTCCCTAGGGACAGTATTTTTGACTGGCATTTTTTTTTTGCCTCAGTACAGCATCACATTTCTCATTCCATATGATAAACTTTTCAATTGAAGAATGTCTGTTTTGATTTCATTTTGGTTGAATCTCTGTTGGAACATCGAATTATTTTTCTGTATTCTCTTGACATCTTGAAGTGCTTGCAAATGGCAGTTGCTGGATGGTTGCTCTTTGTCTTGTGACGAGGTCAGCGTTTCCTGGAAGTTCTGGCTGCTTGTTGGTGTGTGGCAGCACTGCGTATGGAAGCATTAGTGTTTAGTTATCTAGATTCATCTGGGGCCGTCCTTGTAGAAATCCTAAGCGGTTTGTTTGATGTCTCTGTTTCTGTACTAGATTGCAACTGAAGTCATGGTCTACTCCATAACACTGCTGGAATGTTCTTGCTGACTCATTTCTACACTGCTCCCCAGATTCCCTTATATCTGTAATCTGCAGTTGCTGTGTCATTCAATATTACTGAGAAAGTACCCGCAAACAAGTGGCCTGTCCCTTTAAGCCTCTCCCTTTTGCCTGTGGTAGTCTCAAATTCTTTGTCCTCCATGCACCAATGCCATGACTCTGTACCACATCTGGAGTTCCCAGCCCACCAAGACCAGTACAGCACAGGGTCAGGCAGTTAGACGCAAGGGTCACATTAGCCAACGGCTGATGAAAGCTAGAGTGTAGGAGTGCCCACCCGGAGCCGTGCGTCAACGTATGCAGAAGTCCTGGGGATAGGCACTGTTAGGATGTGTTCCAAGCTGGATTTCATCAGCCTGGTACTAGGTCCCGAAACAGCTCTGTGATTCCTTGTTGCATTCCCTGAGATTGCTGGGAGTGTGACACGGGCCTCCCCTCAGCTATGCAGGCAGGCCCTAGGTGGATCTCACCTGAGTCTCACAGTTACCAGGCCCTGTGCAACTATTAGGGACACACCAGGGCTGCCAGAAGTTGATGATGCTACACACCAAAACAACTAGCTTGTCTCCCCAGGCTAGAGAGGCTTGGCGAGCTGCAGGTGTAGGCTGGTCTTTGCGCTCCCTAGCGCGATCCTGAGCTCCCTCTTGTGGCTTCTTCGCACAACTGCAGTTTGACTTTCTGCAGGAGATGGGGGGAGGGGCCTAACTTACATTGGTTCCCTGGGACAGAAGTCTGCGATTGGGTCTGGGGTGGGAACGGGGAGTAGTACAAGGGAACTCTGACCTAGGCAATTTTTTACGGTGGGCCTGACACTGGCATTCAATCCGCTCTCCCTTTCCCAGGCAGGAGTGTCTGTCCACGTTGTTTAGGGCTGGGGGCAACATTAGCACAGCCAATGCTTTCCTTGGTTGCTTTCTTCCGTAAGACGTTGCTTATGATTCAAACGCAAGGAGGCGCTGTGATTGGCTTCCTTAGCGCTTGTGAAGCAGCTTGCCCTGGCATATGGCTTCTCACAGTGCTGGCGCCTTGGGGCGATCATGGTTCCCCATTCTTGCAAACTGTATCTGTTGCCCATAATTTTCCACACTGCCACCCTGGGCAACCCGCCATGACTTTTTGTTGTTGTTAAGATTTCATTTATTTATTTATTTACTTACTTAATTACTTGAAAGCGAGAGATCTTCTGTTCCGTCTCCACCGCTACTTTGGGCAAACCACCATGATTTTTGTTAAGATTTTAATTAATTAATTAATTAATTAATTAGAGCTTCCTTCCGCTTTGAGTGCCTAAATGGCCATAACAGCCAAGTCTCCCATGTGCGTGGCAGGGTGACTTTCTGGCCTCAGACCAGAATTCCTATAGGAGATGCTGACATCTTGAGCTTAACACGCTACCCCACAACTCCAGCCCCACTTGCTTGGATTATTATAATAGTTTATTAGCAGTTGATTTTCTGCTTCCTCTCTGTTCATATCTCTTCATATCTTTTCTCAGTATATCAGCAGTGTAAGGCTTTACCAAAAAAAAAGAAGAGAAGAAAGAAAGAAAGAACAACTGACTCATATCCTGTCACCTTTCCCTTTCAAATCCCCCAGTGTCTCGTTGCGTCATCCCCGGGGCCTTTGGCCTGGCCGAGGAACTCAGCTGCGTGGGCCCTGATGCTGTGTCTGCCATCTCATCTCTGCCCTTGCTCTTAGCAATGCTGTTGCCTCCCATCCAGCTCCCTTCGCCCTTTGAAAGGTTCGCACAGACGTCATTTGCTCAGGGAGACCTTCCAGTTCCTGCCCCGAAAGGGCACGTGGGTGCACGTGCACACACGCACACGCAGATGTGCGTGGCACTGCCCAGCTCCTTCGCCCTGACCTGTTCCCCACAGCACTGAGCTGCCTAGAGCACAATGTTGTTCTTACAGAATTCCCTCTTTTAACCCCTTTTACCCATCCCAGCCTGCAAGGACGGGGCTTTAGTCTGTCTTGGTCTCTGCTGAGTCCCCGGGACCTGGGACAGTGCTTAGAGTAGGCAGCAAACATTTTTGAACAGATTGAATGATAATGGCCTTTTAGCAAAGCCGTTTCTATAGAAATGATTGAAGTTGTTTATGCCTATGACTCAATCATGACAATTCAAGGGAGCTTGCAATTAACTGATTGGAACGTGGGCAGCAAGCTATACGCACATTTCACCAGAGCAGTAACATTTTTTTTTCTCCTTAAAATTACAAGTGTCATACGAGCAGGGAAAGGGGTCTTATAGGAGGTGAGTCAGCATTGTACCATCTCCCAGATTTGACAGCTGGCAGGCTGCTGCCACATTTGCTGGGTTTCATTGTTATCATTGCTAATGTGATTCAAGGCACACAGCATATTTCAAGGCACTTCATTGCTGTCTCCTTGTGTGTGCATCACTGAAACACCTTGGTGCTATCTTCCATAAACACAATGCCATAATTACTCCTAAACATGAAAGGCCTTGATAATATCTTTTTTTTTAAAGCTGAAAATATTTCTTTTTTTTAAGATTTATTTTATTTTCATTACAAACTCAGATATCCAGAGAGGAGGAGAGACAGACAGGAAGATCTTCTGTCCGATGATTCACTCCTCAAGCAGCCGCAGCAGCCGGTGCTGTGCCAATCCAGAGCCAGGAGCCAGAAACTTCCTCCAGGTCTCCCACGTGGGTGCAGGTCCCAAGGCTCTGAGCTGTCCTCCTCTGCTTTCCCAGGCCACAAGCAGGGAGCTGGATGGGAAGTGGAGCTGCTGGGACCAGAACCAGTGCCCATATGGAATCCTGGCGCGTTCAAGGCTAGGACTTTAGCCACTAGGTCATGCCGCCGGGCCCTATAATGTCTTAATATGCATTCTGTTTTCCTGATGGACTCTTAAAAAAAAAAAAAACCAATTTTGTGATGTTGCTTCAAGCATGTTCTGCACGTGGCAACATTATTTTTTTTAAACAGTTGTTTGAAAGAAAGAAAAGCAGAGAGAGAGAAAGAGGGAGAGAGAGATCTTCCATCTGTGGATTCGTGCTCCAAGTGGCTGAGACAGCCAGGGCTGGGCCATAGCAAAGCCAGGAGCCAGGAGCTGCATCCCGGTCTCCCATGCAGATGCAGGGCTCTAGCACTGGGGCCATCTTCTGCTACTTTTCCCCCAGCTGCAGTAACTTGGAACTAGAAAAACCAGGCCTAAACACCAGTGCCCATATAGGACACTTTTATAGGTGGTAGCTTTTACCCCTATCCTACAGCGGCAGCCCCACAGTGTTGCTTTTCAAAGCACAAAAGCTGGAAGCAGTCAAAATGTCTTAGGTGATAAATGAAGATGACAGCATAAGGTAGGAGGATTATATCTACAACTGTTTGGTCTCTTGCAAGTGCAGCTATACTGAGAATAAGAGAGGGGAACTATTTTTCAAAATAAAAATAGTTTAACTCCTGTGGGTCAATGGATTGAGTCGCCTTGCAGTCCTCATGTCATCCACCTTACCCTTTTTCTGTTACCCATCTTGCATATCAATGCCCCTTCCTTGTCTTGCCTGTTCTAGGTTCGAGCTCACCAGCTGGTTCTCCCTCCGTGCGACGTGGTGATCAAGGCTGTTTCTGAGTATGTGAGTTCCATCAAGGACCCCTCAAACCTCGATGTGGTTGGAAAGGATGTTTTCAAGCAGTCTCAGGTGAGCCAGCGTTCCTCTTTCTCATAACTGGGACACCAGCCTCTCTCGTCCCAGCTGCTTGTCCCGGGCGGGCTTGCAGATTACACGTCAGGATTTCCTGGGTTCTCCGAAAATATCACCAAGCCTCGATCGAGAGAGTTCTGTTTTGTACTAGAATGATGAACATCCAGTCTGGGAAGTTTGGAACATGGGGAAAACACTTAAAATCTCATTGGGCAGAAAGCCTGCTGACCGCTCTCCCAGTTTTGTATGTGTACGCTAAGGTGCGTCTGAGAGCGGACGATGAGTCTGCGTAAGACAAGGATGGAGCAGGCATTTGACACAGCAGTTCAGACTGCCACATCCCCTGTGGAATCGCCTCTGCTCTTGCCGCTCCTCCAGCTCTGCTGATAGCTGGGTCCCTGGCACCCACATGGGAAACCTGGGCTGACTGCCAGTCTCCAGTCTCCAGCCTGGCCCGGCTCCAGCTGGCAAAGGCATCTGGGAAGTGAGCCAGAGGATGGGAAATCTCTCCCTCTCTTACCTTTCAAACAAATCACAATCAAAATTTCATTGTTAATCGTGGAGAAAAAAACTCAACTGGTAATTTATCCTCTTAAAATGAAACCAAATTTTCGGAAAATAACGGTTTTATTTATAGCAATTTGGTTTGTACTTACAACAGTGGGTTTTTCACTTTTTGTTTTAATATACAAGTGAGACATAAACTTGTGTTGGAGTACATCCCCAGGTTTCTCATGGTGTGCCTCTGTAATAACACCAAGCCTAGCCCTGGTAAGTCACATGTTTGCTCTCTGTCGTAGTAGTTATACCTTCTAGAGAAAGTTCACATGAATGTAATTCAATAGTGGGCAATTTCTTGAGAACAGCTTCTTTCATGCACATAATGCCTTGGGATTTTTCTAACTTCTTAAATATTGACATACTGATGATTCATTTCTTACTGAATACATTCATTCTGTGGATACACCAAAAATTTCAAGGGATAGCGAGACTGACTCCAGTTTTTGATGCTTGTGAGTAGAGCTGATATAACATTTATGGACAAGTTTTGGCACTAACATAATTATTCATTTCCCTAGTGTAAGTACCCAGAGGTGGGATTTCTGGTAACACGGTGAGTGTGTGTGCAAATTCTTACAAACCTTGCCAAGCCATTTTCCAGAGGAACTGCTCCATTCCTTCCTGGCACTTGGTACTCACTGTATTTTTTAATTGTCAAATAAAACCTCTCTATATTATATATAACACATCAGTTTGAAATATGCATATGGTTTGGAATGGCTAAATTGAGCTGATTAACATACACATTACTTCACGTACTTTTCCTTTCTTTGTGACAATGACATTTAAAAACTACCCTTGGGCCCTGTGTAATGGCTTTAATTGGCTAATCTTCCACCTCCAAGAGCCAGCATCCCATATGGACACTGGTTCATGTCCCAGCTGCTCCACTTCCCATCCAGCTCCCTGCTTGTGGCCTGGGAAAGCAGCGAAGAATGGCCCAAGTACTTGGGACTCTGCACCTGCGTGGGAGACCTAGAGGAGGCTCCTGGTTTCAGATTGGCTCAGCAGTTCATAGATCCTCTTTGGTGGATGGTGTTTTCATGAGCAGTCTTTCTCCTGTCATTTAATGTATTTGCTTGTTTACTCACTGTTGAGCTGGGATAATTCTTCACATATTTGTATACAAGTCTTTGTCTGGTTTCTGGTGTGAAAATATTTTCCCATCTATTAATTCTTTAAGATTTATTTCTTTCATTAGAAAAACACAGTTTCAGAGAAAGAGGGAGAGACAGAGAAAGATCTGTCATCCACTGGATCATTCACTAATTGGCTGTGACGATCGGGACTGGGCCACACCAAAGTCAAGTGCCCAGAATTCTGTCTGGGTATCTCATGTGAGTGGCAGGGAATAAAGTACTTAGACCATCTTCTGCTGCCTTCCCAGGCACCTTAGCAAAGAGATGGATTGGAAGCGTAAAAGCTGGGACTCAAACTGGTGCTCTGATATGATATGCTGGTGTTTCTGGTAGTAGCTTAACGTGCTGTGCCCCAACACTGGTCCTATTATCAGTACTTTCGACAACATCTATTACAGAACAGAACTTTTGATTTTCATCCAGTTTTGTCTCATAGATCATGCTTTTGATGTTTTATCCAAGAGTTCTTTGCCTAATTTGCCTAATTTTTTCCTGCTTTCTTTCACATTGTGGGCTAATCAGTGTACGATGTACTAGTTTTTTCATTTGTCTCTTTGAATATGAATGCTTGATTATCTGTACAGTTAATGAAGAAAACTTTTATGCATTCACTTCCCTTTTCACCTTTGTCAATAATCTGGTAGTCATATTCATGTGAGGCTATTTCTGGACTATCTTTTGTTCAGTTGCTCTGTGTCCTTTCACAGTAACCCATATTCTTGATTATTATAGCCTTATAATAAGTCTTTAAATTGACTAGTGGCTCCTCTAATTTTATTCATTTTCAGTATTATTATTTTTTAAAGATTTATTTTTATTATTATTATTTTGTTTATTGGAAAGGCGGATATACAGAGAGGAGAGACAGAGAGGAAGATCTTCTGTCCGATGATTCACTCCCAAGTGAGCGCAATGGCCGATGCTATGCTGATCCGAAACCAGGAGCCAGGAGCTCTTCTGGGTCTCCCACGCAGGTGCAGGGTCCCAAAGCTTTGGGCCGTCCTCGACTGCTTTCCCAGGCCACAGGCAGGGAGCTGGAAGGGAAGCGGGGCTGCTGGGATGGAACCGGCGCCCATATGGGACCCAGGGCGTGCAAGGCAAGGACCTTAACCACTTGCGCCACCGCGCTGGGCCCACTTTCAGTATTATTTTTTAAGTTCAATTGCCTTCCCACATAAATTATAGAACAGCCTTATTTATTTTTACCAAAACAGAAATCTTAGTGTTTAGATTAGAGTGATGTCAAATAAATATATAGATGATTTTTGCTGAGTGTCCGAATCCATGAATATAGTATGCCTCTCTAGTGAGTTCTTCTTTGGTTTCTTTCAACAACTAAAACTCTCATAATTTTAAACATGTAAGCCATGTACATATTATTTTATATTTAAGGTACCCAATATAAAGACTATTGCTTTGCTCATTTCAATGTATAGGAATATGATTGCATTTTATGTATTGACTTTGTACTCTGTAAGCTTTCTAAACTCACTTATTAGATCTAGGAGGGTTTTTTGGGCAGATTTGATGTTGTCTGTGTTTTTGTTTCCCATCTCTGTGCCATCTTTTGATTTACTCACTGTTTAGGATTTCCAAGTAATCTTGAATAGCAATACTAAGAGTAGGCATCCTTATCTCATTCCTGATCCTTAGAGTGTTTAGTCATTGCTAAGTATGATATTTTGTATTGATTATGTACATGTATGTAATCAGGTAGAAGAAATTCTTATATTTTAAAATACGATTTATTTTATTTGAGAGGTAGAAGCGTTATGGCCAATGATGCTGGCACTTGCATGTGGAGAATAAGCCTTTTGTACAAAGTTTTTGAAGTAGCCCCATGTATGTATTTTAGTAGCCAGTACGGGTCTATTTCTGTCTCTTTAAAAAAGAAAAAGATTTATTTTTGGGCACAGCACAATGGCTCAATTAGCTACTCTTCCTTCTTCGAGTGCCAGGATCCTATATGGGACTGGATTGTGTCCTGGCTGCTCCACTTCCCATCTAGCTCCCTGCCTGTGGCCTGGGAAAGCAGCCGATGATGGCCCAAAGCCTTGGGACCCTGCACCCGCGTGGGAGACCCGGAAGAGGCTCCTGGCTCCTGGCTTCAGATCGGCTCAGCTCTGACCATTGTGGCCACTTGGGAGGGGGTGGGTAAACCAGCAGATGGAAGATCATTTTCTCTGCCTTTCCTTTTTTCTGTAGATCAGCCTTTCCAATAAGATATGTTAAATGAGAGTGGATGAAGGAAGGGATAGAAAGATCTGCCAGCCACTGGTTTATTCCCACAAATGGACCCAAGAGTCAGATGTTAGCTAGACTGAAGCTAGGAGCCGGGAACTCCATCTGAGTTCCCTGTGTGAGTGGCAGGGGCTCAGTTAGTCGGACCGTCATCTGCTGCCTTCCTAGGTGCGTGAGGAAGAGCCGCATCCGAAGCGGAGCAGCTGGGACTTGAACTGGTTCTCTGATATGCAGTGCTGGCATCCTGAGCATCAACTTAACCTACTCGGCCACAGCAGCTGTTGCTGTCATGTATTCTTAAAATGAATGAACTGCTGTGTGCAACATCCTGCTCTGGCCCTGGACGGGACTGCGAAGAAACTGTTTTACTTTTTAATTAGTTAAATTTTATTTTTTGTTTTGTTTTTATATTTTATTTTATTTATTTTTCAAATTTTATGATACAATCCCATTGGTTCCTTTTTGTTTTTGTTTTAAGGGTTTATTTGTTTTTATTGGAAAGGTGGGGTTATAGAAAGAGGAGAGAGGAAGATTGTTCATCTGCTACTTTCCTTCCAAAGTTGCTACAATGGCCAGAGCTGAGTTGATCTGAAGCCAGGAGCCAGGAGCTTCATCTGGGTCACCCATGTGGGTGCAGGGTCCCGAGGCTTTGGGCCATCCTTGAGCAGGATAGGAAGTGGGGCTGCCAAGATTAGAACTGGTGCCCATATAGGATGCTATCACCACGGGCAGAAGCTTAGTGTGCCATTCTACCATGCCATGTCCCAGAAACCATTTTCTCTCCTCCTAGAACTTGAGGCTAAGTGGAGGGGAGGCCGAAGCCAATCAGTAAGCCCAATAAAGAGAACAACGCAGATGATGAAGCAGGAAGGGATGTCAGGAAGAGCGTTTGAGACTCACGAAGGGAGGGTGCTCACCTGGCAGGACACAGAACGGGACTGCGTGTGAGGGATGTGCTTCTGTAACTCAGAGTATCTGCAGAGTGGATCGTTGATCTCAACTTATGGGCGTTAAATATTCTGTAAGACATACGAGGGCTCCTTAAAATGCTAATGGGAAGTGTGTGTTATAAAAAGTTATGCATGAATTTCAGAAGGTTTACACCACAATAAACCTGTATTTTGTAAATTTGTATTTATTGAAAGAGAGAAATCTTTTTTAATAAATAATTTTTAAATTATGCTTTTCCTGAATTTGAAAGACAGCGTTAGAAAAGGAGGGACAGAGAAAGACACAGAGTGTCAAGCTGCTGTTTCACTCCTTAACTGGGTACAGTGGCCGGAGCTAAGCAGATCTGAAGCCAGGAGTCCGGAGCTTTGTCTGGGTCTCCCAGGCACGTGCAGGGGCCCAAGGTTTGAGCCATCTACTACTCCTTTTCCAGGCCGCAAGTAGGGAGCTGAAATGGAAGTGGAGTTGCCAGGACACAAATCAGTGTCCATATGGGATGCTGATGGTGGAGGCTTAGCCTACTGTGCTGCAGGACGGTGAGGTCTTGATTTCTTTTGCTTGTGCATGCATACATGTAAATGAGGGAGACTGGCGTTCCATCGAAACGTGGAGCACTAGCACTCTTAGGCTCTGGGACATGACATTGTAGATGCTTTAAAATTTTTTCCATCATGGGTTCAAAGTTTTCTACAAGAAACAAATACTCTTTTGCAATGATCAACTGTTTTTGTAAAAACAAAAACAAAAACTCTTTTGGCGAAATGAACATTCTTGGATGCTGGTGATAGGAGTATAGCTCCAGACGTGTGGTTCAGAAAGCGATTTGGTACATGTTGTCGAGAGTCTGTTAAAATGCTAACACTTTGACCTAGTAATTGTACTTCTCAGAAGTTTCTCTATTAAATAATTCAAAGAGATTTATTTATACATATGTTTATGAGAACATGTTTTGTAATGAGAAGTTAGAAATGACTAAAGAGGCCCAGAGTGATGGCCAAGTGGCTAAATGCATGTGCTGTGACCACATGTGGGCGCAGGTTCATGTCCCGGCTGCTCCACTTCCCATCCAGCTCCCTGCCTGTGGCCTGGGAAAGCAGTCGAGGACGGCCCAAAGCCTTGGACCCTGCACGTGCGTGGGAGACCCAGAGGAAGCTCCTGGCTTCAGATCAGCTCAGCTCTGGCCCTGGTGACCTCTGGGGATGTGAACCAGCAGACAGTAGATCTTTCTCTTTGTCTTTACTTCCCTTTGTAGATCCGTGTTTCCAATAAAAATAAATAAATCTAAAAAATGGCTTAAGGATAACATAGTCTTACAATCCATTTGATCGGAATAGCAAGAGGATTTCTAAGTAGCTGTGGAAACGGCTTGACAACTGAAGAACTCCTTCTCAGTTGGTATTCCCGCCCAAGAGATAAACAGTAATTTTTACCTGTTCTGCCATACATTACATTAATGGAACTTTCTATGTCCTCACATGTGTCTCTCCTTTTATTCAATATAATCATATCAAGGACATTTAGACGTGTCATTGTATATCAATGCTTTTTTTCTTTTTATTACTATATGACATTCCTCTGTATGATTATACTGTAATTTATTCTCTTGTTGATATATATTTATCTCAAGTTTAACATATATATATATATATAAATGAAGGTATTACTAATAGCCTTTCATGGTTTTTTTTGGTATACATATCTGCTAATTTCTTCTGGGTCATGGTGCCAAATGATAAGATATGTTTAATTTATTAAAAGATTTATTTTCTTGGAAAATCACATTTACAGAGACAAGGAGATACAGAGAGAAAGATCTTCCATCCACTGTTCATTCCCCAAGTGGCCAAAATGGCTGGAGCTGAGTTGATCTGAAAGCAGGAGTCAGGAGTTCTTCTGGGTCTGCCACATGGGTGCAAGGTCCCAAGGCTTTGGGCCGTCCTTGACTGATTTTAGGGCACACGCAGGGAACTGGATGGGAAGCAGGGAGACTGGGATTAGAACCAGCGCTCATATGGGATTCCAGCGTGTACAAGACAAGAACTTTAGCCACTAGGCTACTGTGCTGGGCCAAAATATGTGGTTTTATATGCATTTAAGTGCTTTTAGACCTTTTGGACCAATATAATTTAATTTTTACATTATTGTCCTAAGGATATTACCTGAAATCCACAAATGACTTAAATGGACAATATCTACTCTTTATAGATACTCTTTTTAGCATTTTAAAATTTTATTTCAAAGACAAAGAGACAGAGATCCTGTTGTTTTACTTCCAAATGTCCACAACCAGTGGGACCTGTTCACGGAGCCCAGAACCCAGTGCAGGTCTCCCCTATGGGTGACACAGACCCAAGTACTTGGGTCAAAATTCACATGAACAGGAATTTGTTCAAAAGCAGAGCAGCCAAGGCTTGAACCAGGCAGCCTGATTTTAGTGCCTGATGTGGGATGCATGTGTCCTTGACAGCTTAACCAGTGACCCTCCACCCCCTGCTTGATTTACAATAGCTAATAGTGTTAGAGTTAGCTAAATGTTCGATATTAAGAAAATTGTTCCATAATTGATGATACATTCATAGGGATGAAATATGTAAGCCCTCCAAAATTATTTAAATAGTTTAGTTTAATGTAATAAAAGCAAGACAAAAGGGCCAGCATTATGGTGTGGTAGATAATGCTGGCATCCCATATGGGTGCTTTTTTGACTCCTGGCTGCTCCATTTACCATCCATCTTGAGGCTAATGTGTTTGGGAAAGCAGCAAAAGGCAGCCCATATGTTTAGGCCCCTGCATCCTCATGGATGCTCGTTCAAATCCCAACTGCTCCACTTATTTTATTAAAGTTTTTTTGTTTTTAATTTGAAAGACAGAGTCACAGAGAGAGTTCCTTCATTCACTGGTTCACTTGCCAAATGGCCGCAATGGCCAGAGCTGAGCCAATACAAGCAAAGACCCAGGAAGTTCCTCTGGGTCTCCCATGTCGGTGCAGGGTGCTAAGGATTTGAGCCATCTTCTGATGCCTCCCCAGGCCACAAGCAGGGAGCTGGATTGCACAGGTAGGATCTGGAGTGCAAATCAATGCCACATGGCATGCTGGCACACAATTGGAGGCTTAGTCTACCATGCCAAGGCACCAGCCCTGTTCCTGCTCTGTAGGAAGCTCCTGGCTCCTGACTTTGGATCAGCTCAATTCAGGCTGTTGTGCTCATGTGAGGAGTGAATCAGCAGATGGAAAATTTTTCTCTCTGTCTCTCCTTCTCTCTGTAAATCTGCCTTTCCAAAAAAAATAAAATAAATAAATAAATAGATCCTTTTAAAAATGCAATAGTGTAAGTAAACACCACAAAATATCTTTAGATAGTGCTACCATGTGGTTTTCCCCTGCTCCATAGGCACTTTTAAATGATCACAGAATCATTTTCAATAGCAGACAATATAAAGCAAGTTCAATTTATCTAAGGATTTAATAGTATTTCTTTTTTGAGGCAGAGAGAAAAAGAATGAGAGAGAAAGAGAGAGAGAGAGAGAGAGAGAGAAAGCTTCCCTCTACTGATTCAGTGCGCAGTTCTCTGCAGTGACTGGGGCCAGAACCAGGAGGCAGGAACGCAAGCAGGTTTCCCATGCAGGTGATAGAGACTCGATGACTTGCATGCTCACTGTTGCCTCTCCAGGTGGGCAGTGGCAGGAAGCTGGTGTCTGGAGTCAGAGCCTGGGCTTGAATGCAGGCCCGCTAGGATGGGACACAGAGATCTGAACTGTTCAGGCTGAATGGCCATTGCCTTTCCTTTTATGTCTCCCTGCCTGATGTTCTGTGGAGTGGAAATCTGTTCTCTTGTATTTAATAAAATAATGATTTCTGTTGTTGTTTTGACTCCCAGATTGTAAGTTATATGAAACAGATGCATTCTCATAGTTTTTCTAAAAATTTGATGTTCTCTCATGCAGTCCAGGACCGAAGATAAAATAGAACGATTCAAGAAAGCCGTTGAGTACTACTCGGTCACAACCAAGCTCTCTTCGCTGCCAGTGGGTCCCTCTTTTCTTGGTAAGGCTGCCATTTGACCCCCAACTACTTTGTTACTGTGGCAGATTGAGGTGATCTCCCAGGAACACTGGGGCCAGAGTAGCATCACCTGTTCATGTTGTTATTTCTTGGTAGATTTCCATATGACATTGTGTTAGCAGAATCTAACGTGATCAAATTATTGGGCTTGAATAAAGTATGGATCTTTCTGTTGGCCTTTAGGCTTTCGGAATAATCGCCTTGGAAATCCTCCCCTTCCACGAAATCAAATGGGCACCATTTCTACTGGAAAGCCAATGGTAAGCCTTTGTTAGTGCTGCTCAGTTTGCTTCTCAATCTTTATAATCTTGGGTTAGGAGTGATTCAGTGTCGGCAGAACTCCAACGCTCTCTAAGCCTATAGTCACGCTATGTCACTAGAACAGCCAAGTCCATCACCATGAGGACCCTGCAGAGATGGATTAGCTGGTGTTAAAGAGTGGCCCTTGGAGGCCCCGGGCAGGTTCCTTCTCCAGCCTCTGGAGGCATCTGGCCCTGTGCCTCTATTAGAATTCTTCCTTGTTCCTCCACTTTGTATCTCAACACCCCCTGCTCCTGGCACCAATTACTGTGTTGAAGCTACTGAGGGACCCACCTTGGAGCTGATGTTAAATAATTTTTGTGTCTGCTTCGTCCTTTAGTTTTCTCACCAAGTACCCCAGAAAATGAAATATCCACCACCATTCCCAATGGGACCCAGCTCATCACTTCTCTTGTCTCCCCACACTTTGGGGGAGTCACACACTTTTTCTGAGGACCCTGTGCTTCAGGACAGCCCCTTTGCCAACTGGGCTGTCTCTTATGACTCGTCTGCATCCCAGTTCCCCAATTACCTGCCTTCCAAAGCATCGCCACCTTTGAGGCCAGACTCGTCACATTCATCATCTTCTGATGGTGATGAGCCCAATGGAGCCGGCTCTGAGTAAGTATGTGTATGGATCAGCTACCTCTGCGTGCTTGTGTTGGGAACCTGGCCAGAAGGTGTGGGCAGAGTGTGATGTGTTGGATTTCCTAAGAAAGTAAAGTGGGAAACCATTCTCTATACTTACTCACTGCGTGCCCCTTTGACCCCATGTAGAGGGGCGGTGATTTTCAGCCCCTCAGACCACTGAAGTGAAAGGCAACAAAAGTGGTTGGTGAGGGCAGCATTGGCATGGATATATGGTGTGTGTCATGAGTGTCACCTCCTAATTCTTGAAGGAGGTAGATGAGCTTGGTTGGCTACTTAAAGAGTCTCTCCCCAGCTGTAGGCAGCTGCCTAGGTTGGGGCTGAGTTAGTCTGTTAGAAGCAGGTGTTATACTTCTGGGAGTAAAGCAGCCAATAGCTGGCATGCATTCTGGACCTGGATAATGCCAGTGTGCCAGCATAGTTACTTATTATTACTACTACTACTACTACTACTACTACTATTTTAGATACATGGGGAAGACAAGGGAACACTGGGCAGGGACATACCATCACTCCCCTAGGCCAGGGATTGGGGCACTGCAGATTGCCTGGGGAAGGAGGCTCTGAGGATGTATTGGTGTGGAAACAGCTGAAGGCATGTATGACAGGGGAAGAATGACTTCTGAGATTTTCCATGGACCAAGCCAAAGTCCTCGCGGATGTGCGACAGAGCTCAGATCAGGTAGTTTAGAGGGGAGAAACCAAAGGACATGTCCAGGTCAGGCCAAGGCACCTGTGCACGTGGGAAATCTGGGCTGGGCTAAATAGTATCACCCACTTCCTACTAGCACATGTAAAAGCTCAGTCTTGGGGGGCATGCCTGGCTGGGCGAGGCCACAGTACGCACCTGCAAGTGTTGGAGTCGAGAGTGGGCCGGATCGGCCTAGGCTGTAGTACCTACCAGAATGTGAGAGAACTATATATGGGGGCAGATTCTGTAAGGGACTTGTGTGCCTCTGGGGGACTACAGTACTCACTGGTTTATGCAGAGTGCTGATAGTGGTGACAAACTGAGCCAGGCTGGACCATGTAGCTCACCTGACACTCTGGGAGCCAGGGCTGAGAGGGCTGGGCCAGGCTAACCGCATCTGCCAGGACTGAGGACATACCTTGCAAAGAAGGGTCACAGCACCCACTGGCACACATGCAATGTGGGGCTAAGAGCAGGTAGGGGACCTCGGAAACTTCCCTGCTCTGCTGCAGTTTCTACTGGGGAACACAAGGGGCTGGGCTGGGGCTAGGCCGGCCTGGGCCAGACGGTACTACCTGCTGGCACACACGGGAACTGGGGCTTGGGCCAGGCCAGGCCAGGCAAGGCTGAAGCACTTGTGTGGGCTGGGACTAGGGGCAGACCAGGCTGAGCCAGGCCACGGCACCTGTTGCATGCACAAGAATCAGGACAGGGTGTGGGCTATGCCCAGGTGGGCTAAGTTGAAATACTTGCCAGTGAGAGCTGAAGCTATGGGTGGGCCATGGCCAGGTTGAGCCTCCACCAGCATGGTAAGCATCTGCTGTAGTACCTACCAGTGAGTGCCAGGACTGGGGGCTAGCCATGTCATGCTGGGCCACAGCATCTACTGGCACATGCAAGATCTGGGGCAGGGAGCAGGCCTGGTATGGGAACTTGGAAAATTCCCCTGCTAGGCTGCAATTCCCATGGGTAAAAGCAAGGACTGAGTCAAAAAAAAGAAAAAGAAAAAGAAAAAAAGAACTGAGCTTAGGGGTAGGAACAGGTCAAACTAGGCAACAGCACCTGTTAGCATATGTGTGAGCGGAGCCTGGGGATGGGCTGGTTAGGACAAGTCCACGGTTCACACTGGCACAAACAAGAGCCAGGACAGGTTGGACCATAACACCTCCCAGTTCACATGAGGGCTAGAGGTGGGCCAGGCTAGGCTGCTGAACCCACCAGCAAGAGCAAGACTGGGTATGAGCTAGGCTGAACCATGCTGTAACACCTGTTGATGAATGCTGAGACGGAGGGCAGGCCATCTCAGACTGGGCCACAGTGCCCAATAGCACACATAGGAGCCAAGGCTGGGAGTAGACCTAGCAGGGGATTCCCTTGCTGGGAACTGAGCAGTTAGCTGCATCCACTGCTATATGCATTGGCTGGTGAAGGTGAACCTGACCCTGCACTGGCTGGTGCACACAAGAGTCTAGTGAGATTACTGCAAGTGTGGTTTCTTGAAGGAACTCTCCAAGCAGACCACTGGCCCCAGACTTCGGCTACCCTGGAAAAATCACAGGATGTGTGGTCTGACCTTGGAGTGCATGTATCAGGACTGGGCCTCCTCAGTGGTTGATGCCTGTGCAGTGGACAGCATTTGTTTTGGGTGAATGTGGCCCTGAAGGCAGTGAGAACCTCTGTGCGGAAGGGGCAGGTTGAATATTCTAGGAGATGCCTTGGGATTAGAGCAGATGCCCCGACTACAGATCTCTCTACCAGGCTCACTTTTCTGTTGTTTTTTTTTTTTTTCCAGTCATGTCACAGAGGCACTTCAACAGCAGCCTGGATGGACAGATCCCAGTGGCGAGCGCGAGTCTTGGGGACAGCCCATGGATGCTGGCGTTTCAGAATCCAGCCTCGGGGACGGAGAGCCCCACATCCCGTCTCTGCTTTCTATGTCCACAAGGAACCACATGGATATCACCATCCCACCCTTGCCTCCAGTCGCCCCGGAAGTCTTGCGGGTTGCGGAGCACAGACACCGCAGGGGTCTCATGTACCCGTACATCTACCACATCCTCACAAAGGTAGGCTGGCCCCGCCTCCTCCTGGGGCTTAGCACCATACCACATCCTCCCTAAGACCGCGTGAACCAGAGGGAATTCAACCACCAGTATCTGAAGGGAGGAAAAAAGAGAACAAAGGTTCTCTCTCTCTCTTTTTTTAAGATTTATTTATTTCTATTGGAAAGGCAGATTTACAGAGAGAAGAAGAGATAAGGAAAAAATCCTCCGTCCACTAGTTCACTCCCCACGTGGTCGTAACAGCTGGAGCTGAGCTGAAGCCAGGAGCCAGGGACTTGTTCCAGGTCTCCCACGCGGGTGCAGGGTCCCTAAGCTTTGGGCCGTCCTCAACTGCTTTCCCAGGCCACAAGCAGGGAGCTGAAATGGGAAGTAGAGCAGCCAGGATATGAACTGGTGCCCAGATGGGATCCTGGCACTTGCAAGGCGAGGACTTTAGCCAATGAGCCATCATGCTGGGCCCGAACCCAAGGGTTCTGGTGGGAGCCTCATTCAATTCAGGGCCTCACCTAATGCGAAACCACTAGAAGATGGGACTGAGTGGCAAATTAAACCCCCAGAAAAGGAATGTAACTGATATATTTTTAAAGTATCTTCCCTTTCATCAACTTGAAAGGCAGCAATCTTCCATATGCTCATTCACTCCCCAGATGCTGCCAACAGCCCCGCACTGGGAGCCTGGACTTCCACCCACGCCTCCCGCAGGGGCCCAAGCACCTGGACCATCCTCGGCTGCTTTCCCAGGTGCATTTGCTGGATCAGATACACAGCAGCCTGGACTTGGGTTGTCACTCTGATACAGGATGCATGTGTCCACAGTGGTTGGCTCCCCTCCCGTAGGATGCCCAGCCCTCACTGTGGACGTCTGCAGTGTTTAGATCCCATGCTGACACACTGCAGATCTGGGAATGGATATAGCCTAAGAAGAGGCTTCAGGTCCTGGTACCTTATTTCTTCCTGTTTTACTGCAGAGTTGCTCTTCACGTATCGTGCATAACCACGTGTACCCAGCCCCCAGCAAGGCTTCCAAAATGGTCCTGCCCACTAGTCAGCTACGGATGGTCAAAGCTGACACTTTAGAAATAGAATTACTGGGCCTGGTGCCATAGCCTAGTGGCTAAATGCTTGCCTTGCACGTACCAGAATCCCATATGGGTTCCAGTTCATGTCCTGGTTGCTCTACTTTCCTTCCAGCTCCCTGCTTGTGTTCTGGGAAAGCAGCAGAGCATGGCTCAAAGCCTTGGGCCCCTGCACTCACATGGGAGACCTAGATGAAGCTCCTGGCTTCTGGCTTCAGATTAGCTCAATTCTGGCTGCTGTGGCCTCTGGGGTAGTGAACCAGTGGATGAAAGACCTCTGTCAGTCTCTCCTCTCTGTATTATGTCTTTCCAATAAAAAATAAGTCAATGTTGTAAAAAATGGAATGTAGCTTAAAATTGGCTGTGGTAGGCTGGGTTCCTGTTGGGCCACAATTCTGTCTGAATGCAAACAGAAAAGGGAGCAGAATTCACGGAGGCTTCTGCTGTTCAGGTGATTCCCCAGATCCGATCTAAACCTTGCCGGGACTGATTTTTCTCCTTGGCCCCGCACTCTTCTCTCGTTAGGGTGAGATTAAGATTCCTGTCTGTATCGAGGATGAGTGCAACATGGAGTTACCTCCAGCCGCCCTCCTGTTCCGATCAGCCCGTCAGTACGTGTATGGAGTTCTTTTCAGTCTGGCAGAGACCCAGCGGAAAATGGAACGCCTGGCCATACGGCGCCGGCTGCCTGTGGAAAGTAAGTGTGGTGCTGATGTTGGCACGGCTCTCCTGACTTGACACATCCATTCTACGTATGGCCCTGGAGTAATCTTTAGGAAGATGTGTCATTCACCGGAGTATAGATTGGCATAAACGATACATGGAGTGAAGCCTGATTCTGAATGAGTTCTCAGGGGACTTGGGGAATGTACAGGTGTATCTGACACAATCTCTCCTCCATGAGTTTTTGTTTGTTTGTTTGGGGTTTGATCCTGTGGGGATTGGAAGGCCTTGAGATGTTTTGAAGCTGTAGAGTGACATAGTGAAATTAGCATACTCAAAACAACACTCTAGATTTCTGCTTCCAGGAAGAAGGAGTTTATCAGAATTACTGCTCCCTAGCCTTCCTGCTAAGAACAACTGGAAGTCCAGGGCAGTATATAGGAAACAGGCACAAGACATTCTAGCGGGGGAAGAAAAGGCAGACTGGCTGAAGACCTTGATGCTGCAGCGTGGCCTGCAGTACAGTGATGAATTCCCTGCGATTTCTTTCTTTTTTTATGACTTATTTGCTTTTATCAATAAGGCAGATTTATAGAAAAAGAAAGAGAAGAGAGAGATCTCCCATCTGCTATTTTGCTCTTCAAATGGCTGCTCTTCAAATGGCTGAAGCCTCCACTGCTTTCCCAGGCCACAGGCGGGGAGCTGGATGGGAAGTGGGGCAGCCGGGACACGAACCAGTGCCCATGGGAATGCTGGCACTGCAGGCAAAGGATTAGTGTGCTCCAACTGCCTAGATTTTCTGAACTCACATTTCCAATACTTGGGTGTTGGACAAGCTGGTATCGCAGCAATGGCAACAGCTCCAGACATGAAAGTCCTTGAAAACCCTGTGTTCTCTGCGTGAAGGACAAGGGGAAAAAAGGAGTAACCTGACTAGATAGTGAGCCACTCCCAGCCTCAGCAGCAATGCCCACAGAACCACTTCAGACCTCTACCCCGACTGGGCTGCAATGAGGAACCTCTCCTGCTCCTGCTAGGGAGGACTCAGACAAGGTCAAGTCCAAAGGCAAGATTTGCACTCACAAATAGCCGTAGTTAGACGGTGTCCCTTCACCTGCTGCAGAAAAGATATGCTAACACGAACGCTTTGTTTTTAATAAAGAGATCAGAGTTACGGAGAGGGAGAGAGAGATTGATATACTGTCCGCTGGGTTACTCCCCGCATGGAGTTCATCCGCGCCTTCCCCATAGGTGACCAGATTCCCCTGCCGAATTCCCAAGGCCATTCAGTAAGATCCAGAAGCTTTTAAAATAGCACTCCAAATGTCTGCACTTCACTAGCAAATTCCTCATTATGCCCCAAACCAGAAAGATTTCAAATTTAGATCTCAAACCGACTGAGAAAACAGAATGAGCACTGAAGCGGCACAAGCTGGACTTCCGTGACGAGGATTTCAACACAGTGATCGTAAAAATGTTTTATGGAAAATTAGCTACCTGCTTGAAATGAATGAAAAATCACTCAACCCAGAAATAGAAGACATGAAGAAGAGCCCAGCAGAAATTAAGAGTAAAAAAATAATAGAATACGGGCCCGGCGCGGTGGCGCAGTGGTTAAGGTCCTTGCCTTGCACACCCAGGATCCCATATGGGCGCTGGTTCTATCCCGGCAGCCCCACTTCCCTTCCAGCTCCCTGCCTGTGGCCCGGGAAAGCAGTAGAGGACGGCCCAACGCTTTGGGACCCTGCACCCGCGTGGGAGACCCGGAAGAGGCTCCTGGCTTCGGATCAGCATAGCATCAGCCGTTGTGGTCACTTGGGGAGTGAATCAACGGACGGAAGATCTTCCTCTCTGTCTCTCCTCTCTGTATATCCGCCTTTCCAATAAAATAATAATAATAATAATAATAAAAATAATAGAATAGCCAAACTAAAACACTTGATGACCGAAGGACTTGAGCTGTCCTCTGCTGCTGACCTAGGCCACAAACAGGCAGGGTGTTGGATCAAAAGTGTAAAAGCTGGCGCTCATATGGGATGCTGGCACCACCGTTGTAGGCTTAATTTACTACACCATAGCACTGGTGCACAAAATTGCTTTTTCTTTATTTTAAAAGGCAGAGAGAGAGAGAGACTGACATTGCTGGTCTGTCAACATGCTCACTTCCCAAAGGCCCACGGCAGCTAGCAGTATGCCACCTCATGCTGGAAGCCAAGAACTCAATTCAACTTTCTCCTGTGGGAGGCAGGAGCTCCTTGAGCCAGTGTCTTGAGCAGTATCCGAACCATTATGCTAAATGCCTTCGCCAAAATAGCCACTCTTGACTTTTCAAAAAATATTAAAAATATAGGTATTTGGGCCCGATGCAGTAGCCTAGTGGCAAAAGTTCTCGCCTTGCATGTGCCAGGATCCCATATGGATGCTGGTTCTAATCCCAGCTGCTCCACTTCTCATCCAGCTCCCTGCTTATGACCTGGGAAAGCAGTCAAGGATGCCCCAATGCCTTGGGACCCTGCACCCATGTGGGAGACCCAGAAGAACCCCCTGGCTCCTGGCTTCAGATTGGCTCAGCTCCAGTCATTGCAGCCACTTGGGGAGTAAACCAGCAGAAGGAAGATCTTTTTCTCTGTATCTCCTTCTCCCTCTATATCTGCCTTTTCAATAAAAATAATAAATAAATATTTTAAAAATAAGCATTTATTTATTTATCCGGAAGGCAGATGCTCTGATTCAGCCCCAAGCGCCGGGAGCAACCACCGGAACCTGGAGCCTGGAACCCCAGTCAGGACTTGCAAGCTGATGGCAGTAAGCAAAGTGCCCATATCTGTTGCCCTCCAGGCACATTAGTAGGAAGTTGGATCTGAAGCAGATGATCCAGAACTCATACCAGCACGCCACTATTGTGTGTTTTGGTGTCCCAAGCAGTGACTTGACCCACTGCACCACAAAGACACCTGTATGTATAATTTGGTACCTAAAAATCTAAAACATGTACTGAAAAGGATACACAAAAAGATACATTCAAAAACAAGTGTGTTTAAATCGAAGTGGAATTTAAAAAGTGTTCAAGTTATTCATAGGAAGGGATGAGCAAGAAAGCAGAGAAATAAAAAATTGAAGAATCTACAAGGACAGACTTAAGCCCTACCATATCAGTTCATTAAATGTGACTAGCATACACCAATTAAAATGCAGAGATTGGGAGCCTGTGCTGTGGGTGAAACTGCTCACCTGCAATGCTAGCATCCCATATGAGTGCAGATTCAAGTCCTCCATGTGACTAGAAGTTCAAGTTCCGGCTGCTCTGCTTCTGATCCGCCTCCCTAGCAAGGATAACAAAAGTGCTTAGGTGCCTGCCCTGCATATGAGTGCGTTGGATCAAGTTCCTGGCTTCCAGCATGCCCCCGGGCCAGCTGAAGGCATTGCAAGCTTACAGTGAGTGAACCAAGAGATGAGAGCTCTCAGTCCGGCCGCTACCCAGATCTACTGTCAGATCACTGTGGGACCCAGCTGGAAACCAGCAACAGGGCAGCAACAGGAAAATATAGCACTGCTTGGAAAAATATCAAAGCATATATCTATATCTATGTCTATAGCTATACACATCATAATCTGTGTAATTCCTGAGTCAAATATATATATAATATTTATAATATGTAATATAATATATAAATAATATATGTAATTACTGAGTCAAGTTATACATAATATATATAATTTTATAATATAATATGTGTACATATTATATCTAATTATATATCACATACACATATATATTATATATATATAATTTTCAAGTCAAAAGGGGACTCTCAAGAGAAAGAAATACATTGATGTAAGTGAAAGTAGAAATCTAGGTGATCCTTGATGTACAATAGGATTATGTACCATGAAGCCTATTATAAATTGCAAATATCCTAGTTGGAAATGCAGTTAGAACACCTACTGAACGTCACAGCTTGGCAGCACTCTACACTGCAGACTCTTGGTTGTTTATCCTTGTGATCACACGAGTGGGAGCTGTGACACACGCTGCCCTGGAGGAGAAGATGGTATCCTACTTCACAGGAGTAGCCTAGGGCCAGAGCAACATTCAGAACTGAAAAACAACTTCTACAGAGGGAACATGTGAGCGCCATGGAGTCTGAGAACCATCCACGTTGAGCCATCATAAATCCAGGACCACCGGCACAACCTCCTAAGATTTGTGTGATGGAACGGAAGTGCTGCTGAGGAACAGCTGTGCTATACAGCTGCTGATTCCAGAGCATGCGGGGAGTAGTAGAGGAGCAAAGACTGGCTTTGTGGTTCATGGGAAAGATGTCAAATTTTAGATCGAAAGTGAGTGTGCTCTTACAAAAATTAGTGCCAGTCTAGCGTGTGGCTATGCACTTGGCCTCAGAGGAGTTGGTGGCTGCTTGGTGACGCTCCAAGAACACTTGGGATATGATGATGCTGGAGAACGTGAGAAACGTCATCTCAGCGGGTGCTGTAGTTCCCAAAGGGTGGCAGTGTGTGAGGCAGAGCAGGGACGGAAGCTGTGGAAGGTGAAGGGCAAGAAAACCGGCCGGGGAGCTATCTCGAGTTGATGCAGGAGAGAAATTGGATGGATGTAGGAACGTGGCAAGGCCCTTGCTGACGCATCCATGCCCCTGATGCGTCAGAGAATCCATTCAGGTGAGAAACCCCATAAATTTATTGGATGTGACAAAGAGTTCAGCCAGAAATGACAGCTCTTGAAACAACTCATTCAGTGAGCGACACAATAAACGGAATACACTGAAGACGCTTTCCCGGAAAAACATCTCATTCTCTAACAGCAGAACCACAAAAATAGAAAGTGACAAGGCTTTTCAGTAGCACAGAGTCCATCGTGAAAATAACCCTAGCAGTTTAATTTATATGGAAAAACTTGTCATGAATTTCATGTTCTGTCCTACTGATTTCATGGGTAAACGTTTGAGTTATAGACAACTTTATACACTATTGCAAGTTGTGAAACATTGACTAACATGGCAACAGATTGACTGCACT